CCCGGCCCCCCACAGCCCCTCCCCCATGCCCCCCCAGCCGCATCCCCCACCCCTCGCTGCTCCCCCAGCCCCCCGGCCCCCTTCACCCCACACCCACCTCGCCCCCCAACGCCCCTCCCGGGCTGCACTTGCCGTTGAGTCCCGGGCGAGGACGCGGACAGGGGAGCGGCCGCCGGTGGGCAGCGCACTGAGGAGGCCCGTGGGTCCTCGATCTGCGCGCCTGCAAACCGGAGACGCCGCCGGCTGGCCGCCGCGACAGGGGCCGGGGGCTGCCAGGCTCCCGCGGGAAGGGCAGAGACCCGGCCGGGGTGTGGACGCAGCGGCGCGTCTCCGGGCGCAGGGGGCCGCTCAGACCCCGGGCGCGACCTCGCCCCGCGCCGCTCTGCGCCCCGGCCCACATCGCGGGTCCCCAGGCCTCCCGGCGCCTCGAGAAGGTTACGGGCTCCCCGAGGAGGGCCGGTGCCGACAGCACCACGGGTGAGCGCGAGGCGGGCTGCGAAGAGGGGCGAGAGCCCTCCTGCGACCCCTCCCGGCCCTCCGCGGGCCCCCTTCCCGGCCGCCTGGGGGTCCCTGCCCGAGAGGGAGGGCGCCGGCCTGCCGGGGGGATCCAGGCGGCGCCCCCCGGCGCTCAGCTCCCAGGGAACCGGTGGCCGGCGCGGGCGGGGGGCACCCGCCGCTGGTGGGAACAGGGTTTCCTTGGGGGTGGTGACAGCGCCTTTGAACTGGAGGGAGGTGACGGCTGGGCGTTGTGAAGGTACTAAATGTCACTAAACTGCACACTTTAAGCCGATTTACGGCCAATTACGTGTTACATGAATTTTATAAAAACACACCTATTAAATAAAAATTAAGGTTGACCAAGGTTACCAGTATGGAAAATGCTGGAAAGGATTCCATGTAGCCTCAGTTAAACAGGAACCAGTCCACCAAACAAAGACGAAATTTTATGAAAAAAAGAAATAGGAAGAAGAAAACAAACACACATAAAATACATATAAGGCAAAGAACGAGCCCCAAGGCACTGACCACGCTTGCCCTGGGCACCGTCCTGCCTTTGGCTGTAAGGGACACAGCCGGCCTTCCAGCTAGAGTCAAACAGGAGCCCAGCCGCGCGCATCCTCCTCTGCCAGGATTCCAGGCCCTCCAGTGAAGGCTGGGAACACTAACGCTCTCAGACAACTCTGCTCGACCTTTTCTCCTGCCATGAGCCTTAGACAGCCTTCTCAGGCCATGATTTGGGGTTACACTCAGGCACTAAACCGGCGCCACGGGACTGGCTCTCATAAACGCTGGCAGCTGACGCAAACACCAGAACCACGGGCTGGGTCCTGACGGTCCCAGTCATGCCCCCATGTGGACACAGCTAAGCTGCTGTGCTGGGGCTCTACACAAAGCGCCCTTATGTGGGAAATTCACCACCACCCCACCCTGCCCTCCCGGCACGAAACCACAAGACAGAGCTGAAGGATCCCTTTCAAAGCCAAACGTGAACTGAGGGAAAGAGAACAGTTCACAGCCCTGTTGCCTGCAGCGTTGTGACCTGAAGCTGGGACCCGAGCATCCCAGCTACAGAGGGGAGGCACACAGGAGGCCAGTTACCTGGAGCGGCTGGACGCCGACGGGGACCTCTGCTGCCCTTCGTACTGCCGCACCAGGGCCCGCACAGTCCGGTACGGGCTCTCCGTCTCCTCGTCCGTGCTACTGCTCCTGAGGTCAGAGGGCATCAAGCCTTGGTTCAAGCTGTCATTAAGTACTCACAGGGGCCATTTGGCGCCCACGTGAGAAACACAAACAGGGCAAAGCCTGGCCTTACAAACACACCAAACCTAGCAGGGCGACAGTGTCACCGATCTCTGCAACACCTCAGGGTCCTGTTCCCTCAGCAGCTTCACAACCCCCGAGTTTGCTGCCATGTGGTCCTCCAGGACAGCTTGGCCTTTAGGGTATATTCCCGGGAGAGACGACTGCCCCCAGGGAATTGGAACATGGCTCTCACATACCTCCCAGTGAAGAAAGCACACTGCCGGAGGCATATTTAAAATTCTGGGCACCAGAGCAAAAAATTATATATATGATTACTTTCCACTAACTGCAAAACAAGCATCTCTTCTGAAAGGCCTTCTCTCTTTGGGGAGTGCTCGCTCCAACCTCCACCCCGTGTTCTTTGCTGCGATGCAGGGCTACTGAGGCAACATTTCCACCTACTGCCCTGCATCCTTTATCAGAAGAAATGTCAGAGAGAGACAAGTCCCCATCCCCAGACTTCAACCCTCACCTCTGTCTATACCGAGAGACATCCCGTCTGGGCTGTGACATGTCATGACGCACGCCAGCTAAAGCAGCGGCTGCCTCCTGGGCCACAGCAGTGGTACGGTATGGCTGGTGACTCTGCAGAGAGGCCCTGGAGTCCTGTCCTCGGCTCACTGTCCTGCTGGATCCAGGTCTGAAATGAGCTGCCAGGGCAAGGACCAGCCTCATGATGGACTTCAGGTTTCCTTCCACGATATCTGAGGGAGAGGACAGACCGAGAGGTGTAAGAGGGGGCAAAGGTTGAGGACCCATCCGTCCAGTACATATTTGTTAATGATACAAATAGGCCAGGCAGTCAAGGTCTCTGTCCTCACAAAGCCGTGTTCAACAGAGAAGATGTAAATGCAATTCCAGTAAAGTGTGGTAATTGTTACATGACAGGAGAAGCCCAGGGTTCTTTGCAGGCTCTGAGTGGAGAGGAATAGACAGGAGGACAAAAATTCATGCCGTGAGGCTAACTGGGGAGCTGCTGCACTTCTCCAGGAAAACACAAAGGTGTCCCGAATGACAGTGTTCCCTCAAAATAGCCAACTTTAGTGGGCCAGATCCCCAAGCCCACTCCTCAGGGGGGCCAGAGCAGAGACATGACAGCACTCTGGATTTTGTCCTAGAAAAAAAGAGGAATCACACGGAAAACAATGGGACGGGTCTGGTGAAAAGTTAATGTAAGGAAATGAGAAAAATTCTATTTTTTTATTTTCACAGCACTTTACTACACAAGGTTTGAGAAAGGACTGATTGATACCTTGCACAGGCTCTCTCCATGGAAAGTAACTGCCCACCTGCATGACCCCAACACAGAGAAAACCAATAATCTAACATGAACGGAGGGCTCCCTCCTGTTTCCCTTCCCGTCGGGGCCGCGGGCAATCAGACGCAGATACTGCAGCTGAAATAGAGCCGCATCTACAGCCTGTTCCAGAGAAACAGCGAGGAGCCTGGGGGCCTGTGCTTCGAGGGCACCAACAGTTTCTTCTTTGCAGCCTGGACTCAAAACGCACTGAGAAGCGTCCTCTTCTGACAGTGGGGCTCCAGGAGAGGGTGTGTGCAGAGGTCACAGAGCTCTTTTCTCCTGCCTGGAATGTTCTGGGTTGTTTAAAAAAAAGCTATAAAATATTTTCCTTCTGGAAAACTGGGTGGAAAAAAATAGAGCTATTATGATTTGAAATAGTTCTTGGTCATGAAGCCCAAGGAACTTGAAAACCTTAATCTGTCTCCATTTCTGATTTCTTGTATGAGACATTCTAAAATTAATATCCCAATCTTGTAATTTCTACTCTATTAATATTCCTACACACACTCAAGGAAGCCTTTACTCAATTAAAATGAATAGAGAACTTCTCTCTCCAGGTTTCCAAGGCACTCAGATTTTCATGATCACTCTGTCTCTTCAAGAGGGTAGCTTTCTTTAGGCAGTGAGGCCGTGGGCCTGATCCTGCTCAGAACCCTCAGCTGCACAGCCTACTCTCAAGGCTGAGTGTGCTTGTACACCAAGGACCTGGGGAGGCGCCAACCTTTAGCTGAAGTCTGGTGCATCCGAATCTTTCTGGAGGCCACAAACTGGAGCACTTTCTCCACATTATTCTTCATCTCCTGTTGGTTACTGGGACTCAGCTGTACCCCACTCAGCTTTTCTCCTGCTGTTAGAAGAGAGAAAATGTATGAAGTTACAGGGAAGAATATTATCAAAGTTTCGTAGTAGCCAGACACAGAGAAAGGGAATATTTGATGTAAAAACTATTATATATAAGTAAGTATACAAGTGAGTTAAGGCTTGGTGTTTGTAATTTGGATGGGGAAAAGGAAAATGAAAGCCTTTTGGATACCTCGGGGCCTGGGAAGTTATTGTTTGTTTATTCATTCATCAAATATTCATTGCACACCCTGTTTGCCAGGCACTGTTCTGGGCACCAGAGAAATTGCAAGGAACAAGACAAATGCTCTCCTGTCACAGAGCTTGTATCTGACCAAATTAACAAGTAAATGTTTAATATAATTTCAGGTAGTGAAAAGTGCCGTGAGGAAAAACAAGTAAGAATGGTCATGGCCTCTCTGATGATACAAGTGTGCAGAGACTAGAATAAAGTAAGAGATGTTAAGGCTTCGGAAGGCATTCCAGACCACGGAGCCAGAGGTCCCAAGCCCAGGGCGGGAACGTGCTCAGCTGGCCTCGTGCAGAGGAGAGAGTGGGGGTTGGATCCTGAGAAGGTGCCAGGTGGGCGAGGCCAGGCCAGTCCCGGCTCCACGGACCTGAGTGAAGGCATCCAATCCTAGGAGAAAGGGGCGGCCGGTGGGGAGTCTGAGGCAGGGGGGTGACGTGATCTGGGCTGTTAAAAGTTGACTCAGTGTGGACTCAGTAGATCGTGTGGAGAGGGAACAGGGAGGTCGGCTAGAAAGAAAAAGAAAATAGTCAAGGGCAGACATAGTGACGGCTTGGGCTAGAGTGGAAGGGCCGACAGGTGAGAAGTCAGGGATCAGGTAAACTTTTTACATAAAGCGGGCAGCACCCGGGAAGGACTGGGTATGACGCATGAGCAAAAGAGAATGGTAGGGATGACTTGCGAGTGTTCCATTTTAACAGGTGGGTGACTAGTTCCTGCAATGTGTTACTTAGATGAAGAAAGAACAGGTAGCTGGGGGCACGGGTGGGGGCAGGCGGAGACGTAGGTAGAAAAGGGTCTTTTGATTTTATATCCTTTTGAAACTTCTAGATTTTCTGATTATATTTTCAAGTGTAATCTATTCAAATAAATGAAAAATTAAATGTTTAAAATGAGCTTTGGACTTAAAGCAGATCTAGGTTTGTACCTCTGCTTTGCCATGTGTAGTTATGTGACCCTGTAAAATGGAAGACCCTTTCTAAGCCTCATAAAGCGAGTGAGGCAGCGGCGTCCATATCAGATCCATATCATAAATTAAAGTGACATGCCTGGTACAATGCTGGATATATTCCATGTGCTCCATGAATTTACTTATTTTTGTTACAAGTCCTTTCTTGTAAGATTGTTTCCTGAAGATGGGGTAAGACTATATGTCTCTCAAGGGTTGATAATTAAATGAAATTAAATTAAGTGAGATGGAAAGTGTTCAGTAAACGGTAGCAGCTCTTACTATCATCACTGCTGTTACCAGTTTAAATGAATACGCTGGTGAACCCGTGAGCCGGCCCACTGGGGCACTCGTGGACAGGCTGCCTGTAGCAAAGCGGACATTCTCCGTACCACGTCCCTCAAGGACTGGAAGCAAGGTCCGCTGACTAATGAAACCTTAAATGTTTGAGTACCTATTAGGTGCCAGGCCCTTGGGTAGGGGTTGTCAAAATGGAAAAAAAAATTATACTGCACCTGCTCTTAAAGGGCTCAGTCTATAGAGGAGAGAGGTAAACAATTAACACCTGGCAAGTGGTGCTGCGGTAATAACAGAGCTCCAGGCGAGTGCTATGGGGCTGAGGCCGCGGTACCACCTGATGGGGACAAGCGGCGGCTCCCAGGCCTCCGGAGGACAAGCCCTCTCCTGAAGCATTATGGGAGTACCTGGGCACTCCTTTTGCCAGAAACACCTTTTTGCCCGGCTACCACCTCTGGTCCAGCCTCAGTGTAGACACCAATCCTCTGGCAAGTCATCTGGCAACCCCAGGGTTGGTTGGCTGCTCTCTGTACTCACCTCGGAGCTGACTTCATTTCCAATCTGTCCAGCTAGACAGGGAGACTCCTGAGAGCACAGACTCGACTCGTTACATTCCCAAAGCATAGTACAGAGCCTGGCACACAACACTGACTCACATTCACTCCCTGTCTACTGACTAACAGGTGATAAGTCTTCTCTACTTCCATCTCCATGTTTGAAAGAAGAGGCAATCTAATCTAGGGCCTTCCGAGGATGGAGAAAGCCATGGCTGCCCTGTGCCAGCACAGAGCCCAGCCGACTGACCGACAATCTCGACGAGGTAAGCCAGGGTCACCCCGTCACGGAGGTCTTGCTGCAGGTCCTGCACAGGCCTCGCCGCTGGCCGCTTCCGCAGCTGTGCATTCACCCAGGCCACGTACGCCTGCAACTGGTGCTGGAACATGAAAGGGGGAAGTAAGGGAGGCTGCGTACAACGATGACCCTCTACCCTTCAGACTCTACTGTGGCACTTGAGATGAGGCCATGGTAGGCGATCCACATTCAGAGGGACGAGGAGGAGGGGATTTAAGAGAATAAAGAAGAAAGGTGGTCGGACATGGAGAATGTTCTGAAATGCTCCAATTTTGTGCTTATCTCCAGGGATAAGGTCACCTCTGGCTTGGAAGGCAATGAAGACACAGAGAAGCAGGGCAGCATCTTGGTGGCTTGTTCCAGGGATGAGGGCCAGCCCAGAACCACAGACAGCTTACGGGTGTGACCGCTGCTGCCAGCAGCCCACTGTGCTTCTCAGGACAGCCACTCACACGCACGGCGGACCATGGTGCTTGTAGGAACTGATCTCAGGGAACTGGGAATAAACACCAAACCAAGCTCAGACCACCTCTCCCATTGCTTTCTTCACAATGAGATCACCTCACGGCCCAAGATTTGTTCTCCTGAGCCCACAATCCAAGTGTTGCTACAGCTAGTTTTAATCCTTGTTTTATACAGTCAGAGAGGATCTAGTTCCCTACAAACTACATAGAGAAAGAAAGGCTTTGGTGACCTCGGGGTGGCGGAGCGCCCCCACTTATCTCCAACAAAGCTCAGACCCAGGATCATCAGAGACCGGTCAGGCCCAGAGAGGGACGCGTACCTCAGCCCAGCCCTTGGACAGCCTTACCTATCCCATTTTGTCCCTTAAACAAAGCTTGTATTCAGGTGTTCATTCTGATCTTGTATCGTTCTGAAGCTGGGTACTAAATGCCGAAACAGCACAGGAACAATGTCAAAGTATAGGTAACAACTCTGGTCTCTGTAGAAGCTCAAGACCCTGACCCTAAAAGTTAAGTTCAAGGGCTGATGGTATTGAATTACAATTTGGTCAAAGTACAGTTGGGTTCTGAGCCCCCCAAGCACTTCCTTAATGAAATGATGTTGGGAATTACTCTGTGGCTGCTTCCTGAGTTTAAACTGAATCCTCATTGTTTTCTCTATGTCACTTTGTTGGAATAAGTGAAGTCTTTCAGAAGCTGCTACTAAGGCACTCGCCTACCGGCCACTGCCAAACCACAGAAAGCGCAATCATCAGCGGCGGCAGGGGACGGAATCTAACGCTGAGTACCTGCCATGAACAAAACACTATTTTGGTGTTTGACACCTGTTCTAATGAGTTGATGAATGTACCAGGAAGAGGATCTGCCACACAGTTAACGTTTACTTAATGGTCATTATTTTCATCATTATCATCACCTAATTAATTCCCCAAAAAGCACTGAAGGGTCAGTATCATCCCCAGTCAATGGATGAGGTTCAGAGAGGTCATGAACCTTCTCTCACATCCCAGCTAGGACACTGTAGACCTGGCATTGAAACCCAGTAGAGGAGGTCCGAGCATTTATCAAGGGCCTCCTGTTATCTACAGAATAAGGATGGCTGCACCTGCAGCCTGACCTGGCCACTCCTGCCCACAGCCTGCCCCCACTGAGGGAGGCAGCCAGGTGGTCAACCACTCTGCTCTCAGGGAGGGAAGGAAGCAGGGGCCAGGGAAGGGAGGGCTATCTGCCTGGTTCTTTCAGGATGTTGGCCAGTAAGAGAAGAAGAGAAGGGCACGTAACGGAGAGGCACAAAACAGGGTGAGCCATGAAGGCACCTCGAGCCTCGGGGGAGCAGCCAGTTAAGTGGGCAGAGCCGTCACTGGCAGGCAATGGTGACGGAGAAACAGGCCAGCACAAGACCTACCACTGAGGCTGAAGGCTTACAGACCTTCCACAGGGAAGCGTGGAGTTTGGAAACAGTAGAGTGAAACGGTGGCACCTGCACCTTAGAAAGGTCACTCTGGACAGAGCAGAATGTGGGGTAGAACGAGTTTTGGAGAAGCTGAGGAGGAGAACTGGCACCAATTACGGTGAGACAAGACGAGAGCCTCCCCCGAAGCGGTATACCAGGTAAGACGACGACGAGCGCCCGGAACAGGTCAGAGGGCCTGGCGGGACGCCGGCGGCAGCAAAAAGAGACGTCTACACAGCCGTGCCTGAGTGGATGGCAGCGCTCTACTGAGACGGAGAATCTAAGAGCAAGTTTCAGAGAAAAGCAAACAGTTCAGTTCTGAACTAAAAAACACCAGGGTAGATGTTCTGCGGCCAGGCAGCGGTGCACGGGTCCGGAGCGCGAGAGGTGGGCCGGGGGCAGACACAGGCCTGCGTGCATCTGTGTGTGAGAGGCACAAATGGCCACCGTGCCGGCGAGCTACCCACCACCCGCTGAGCACCACAGGCCCGGCGCTAAGCGGGCTCCCACAGCCTTTCGCCTGTGCAAACAGGAAATACACATTAGGTCTGACGTGCTGATGGGCAGTGACGGCAGTGGGTGGGGGACTTGATCATATGGGTGAATGCTGAAACCACAATGTTGCTCATGTGAAACCTTCATAAGATAGTATAGCACCAATACCTTAATTTTTAAAATGCTTAAAAAGACAAAACAAAACACAAACACCACAATAGAAAACAGGTATGGAACAAAAACAGTTATCACTTTTAAACATGAAAATACTTCTTTCATAAAAAATTAAAATTAAAACATCAAAGAAGAAATATACGTTATATCTAATATACAATGACACATTTCCCCACACACACCGACCCTGTGACCCTGTGAGGAACAATTAGTTCCACCTCACAGACGTGGAAACCAAGATTTAGAACAACACTCGCAGAGCCTCAGGGCTGCTAAGCAGCAGGAAAAGGTTTTGAACTCAGCACTGACTCTGAATCCTGGGCTTCCAACATCCCAAAAAGTAAGGTGAGCTACAAACAGCTTCTTGGCAAAAAAGGGAGTAAGAAGAGAGGGCTGAAAGGAGAGGGGAGAAAGGAAACGCACGGGGGCAGCCCTGGCCCACCACCAGACGAGGCACTTCCCGTGCAGTCTCCTTTAATCCTCACACCCGACCACTGGTATTATTAGCCCCATTTTTCATAAGGGAAACCCTGCTCAAGATCAGCGCCAGTAAGTGGTGAAAATGGGATTTGAACCCACTCAATGTATTATTTCCTCTGCACCAAAGAAAGCATACAATGAAAAAGAAAGTGAGCTCAGATAGAGGCTGGGGTGGGTCAGCATTAAAGGGACCAGGGAAGTGAGATGAGGGAGAAAAACTACCTTAGATTCAGAGGGACAGAAAAAGCAGCAGAGAAACTGTTCTGTGGGAACCCGGGCACGAGGCGGCCGGCAAGGTCGAACGCTGTAGAAAAGTCGGCTGAGGGCAGGAAAGCCCATTTCATTTAACAGTTACCAGGCTTTGCTGGCCTTTTTGAGAACAGATGTGGTACAGCTCTGGGGTTGAAAGTCAGATGAACTGAGGAGACACCAGGAAGTAGGAAAACAGAAGCAGGCAGTTGGAAGGAAGGGTATTAGCTGGACGGGAGGGAATGAGGGGCTTTTAGGACGAGAGGGCATCTGTAGGCTGAGACCAGGGGTCAGTGAAGGAGAACCTGGTATGAGGAGGGAGGATGGGGAAAAGGGGAGGGCCCCTTCCCCCTCTAATCCTGAGGCAGGAGTAGTTACTGAGTGGGGAATCTGGGGGGAGAGGGCAGGAGCGGAGCTGAGGAAATGCAGATCCAATCGCCCTGTGCTCAGTAGAAAGCAGGCCAGTCTGTCTGCTGAGGGTGATAGGGAGAGTGGGGAGTCTTCAGGAAAGGACTGGGAAGGGCTGCTGAAGATCTGGCAGCACCAAGGCCTCAGCTGGGACTGGAAATAGTCATCTTGTACCTGCATCAATCAGCAAGGGGCTGTGACTTCCCCTGGAGGTGCTCAGCAGGCCTGAGCCGTGAGGGGAGGACACCAGGACTGGGCTGACAGAGGACTGGAAATAGCCGGGGATAGGCAGCGGTCATCAGCGCAAAGGCTGCGAGCATGGTGGCGAGTGTGGGTTTGAGCTGCCTGGCAGCAGAATCTTTGCAGGGAGAAGAAAGTAAAGGAGAGCCGATGAACTGAGGTCCAGAGGGGTAAGGAGAGAACGCGGTGCAATTGAAAATAAACTTAATGGAGGAGTGTGAACATTGGGGTTTGAACAGAGAGTAGAGTTTCAGAGCTCACGATTGCACGGTAGGCCCTCTGTGGAATGAGCCACAGGCTGTGGCCTCAGCAAGTGGTGTCACTGAAGCGGCAGGAGGGGGACGATCCTACTGTGAGGACAGTCCCAGAACCGGGGGGCGAGAGGACTTCATCCATGATCCTGAAGTCATTCCAGAAGGAGGGTAGTTATGAAAATGCTGAGGATGTCTGCCACTCTGCCTAGTCATGCATTTAAAGACCTGGTTAAGGGTGCCTTCAAGGAAAGGCACTCATTAAAATTTTTAACTGAAGAAAGGCCTTTGTCATGTTGACAGGGATCTATTAAATGTCATCTAACAATGAGATGGAGATTCACCACTAAGTGAGACCACTTATCCAGAGGCTGAGGGTCCCACTGAGGGCAAGTCTCCGTCCTCCCACTAAACCTGATCTGGGGAGCCGACCACAAGACTAAGTGTTGCTTAGTCACCACTCTGACCAGAAGGTATCTGTACTTCTCACGCAGGGGGCAGGCAAGACCCTGTTTTTGCTATAAGTGCTGACTGCTGTCTCTGCAAAACTTGATTTGCAGGACAAAGTAGACACTCATATAGGACCAGCCACACACAAAAGAGGCCTGTGGTGCAAGCCTGGCCCTGGGCAGCTCAACCATTTATTGGAGCTGCCTCTGCAGCAGATGAAATGCCAAATGCTTTTTGCAAGAGGCTGTTACTTCTGGGGGTTGGACTGTTAGTTTATTTTTTCCTCCTTATTTGGCCTCACAATCTTTTCCAAATTATAACTTATGTGGAAAACCAGATATGTAAAAAGTAGAGTTTCTCTCATTAGGGCCAGAGTGGGAGATGCCAGCTTAGCTCATTGGCCCTTTTTCCTCCACCTCCAATCCCTCACACCCCAGCCACCTGAAGCATTGTGCAGCAGCTGGGAAAAAAACACTGCATTTTGTTGACTTCTAGATCTATCATTTTATAAATCAATTATTCAGTGAAGACATGATACAATAGGTTCGGCAAAATGAAAATATCTGGAATATTAAGAATTATATTTTGAACAAGCTCCTAGTTCTTGGTCTGTCTCCAACAACAGCCGGAGAAGTACGCCCACAAGAAGGTCAGACCAGGTCCACAGGGGCAGTGCCCCGACAGGCCCTAGTGTTGGCACCCAGTTCACAATGATGCCCCCTCTGCAAACACCGCGGGAGCCCCGGGCATGGGCTGGTGTTACAGCACCCCCTCCACTGGCCACAGCTGACTGGTCTAGCTGAGTGACCCATCAAGCCTGCCTGTCTCTGGATATTTCTGATCTGGTATTTAGGAATAGAATCAGGGCGTGCTCACACTCTTATCTCCCTCAGTCTCTCTCCCTCCATATTTTTCTCTCAATCTCTATCTCTGACAAAGCTGTAAACTATAAAACACAGATGTTGCCATAGGCCACGTTACCTGCCTGAGAGAAATCCTCGTTGTGGGAGGAGATAAAGCCTCCCACAGAAAGAGCCGGAGGCAAGAGGCGAAGTGCAGAGGGAGGGACCCTGCGTTACCTGGTTTCTTGATTTTCACTGCAGCTCTGCTCCATCCTTGGCCTTTCCTCAGTCATGAGTCAGCCAATCCCACTTCCTATCTCTGCTGGTTACAAGTTGGGTTCTTGGCACTTGAGACCAAACTAATAAAGAAGACAGCCAAAACACGACGTCAGGGGCTGCACAGAGCTGACCTGGGTCCAGAGTATCTCCAACTTGTTCTGGGGGAGCCAGGAGGCCTGTGTGGTCCAGGAGTCCAGAAAGACCGAGGGGTTTTACAACAAGCCTCTGAGTCAGGCCTCGCCTGGGCGGGCAGGGGAAGGAAAGGCTGTTGGGGCAGGATCTGGCTGGAAGAGACTGGACTGCCCTCAGGCCGGGAGGCAGTGGTCACACAGAGGAGCAGCTGGTGTAGGGGGACCTCAGCCACGCCATAATCTCCACAGCTTCCTCCATGACACTCCAAATAACCCTCCCACATAAGGTAAAGCCCTTCCGGTATAGACGATTCTGTCCACCTTCTCAATCTGGATCCTGAGAGCTTTCTTGCTGCCAAATGTAACTTTCTTTCTGTTTTTCTTTGGGACCTACCCTTCCTTACAACCAAGTCTGTAAGCCCAGCCTGCTTTCTATCTCCCCTAAACCTCAAGGTCAAAAAAGGACTCCTATCAGAACTTCTTTGATGGGGTTACCAAGCACTCTCGTGTGCCCCAGGACTGTCTGTGAAGCTACTGTTCCCGAGGAGTGGGCTCCGTGGCTCTGGGCTGGCCAGCAAGAAAGGCCGACGAAAAGGCAGCAGGCTTCTGTGGTGCTCTAGAGAGCACGGCGGGAGAACCGAAGGATCCCAGAGAAGGTCAGTTTCCCAGTGAGACCAGATCCCTGTTTAGTGCTGAGAAACGCCCCCCCTCAACCCCCAGCAGCAGAAGACAAGAGATGGGGGTGGGACGCTGCTGGGAAACAGCCAGGAAGGCAGGAGGTTTGGATCCATGAATTATTATTGGCCTAAATCTTGCCAGTGAAACAATGCCATAGGGTATTTCTTTTCTATGAACTCTTTCAATACTTTACTGAGCCAGCAAAGACTAGTTAGGTAAAAATAAAGTTCACAAGTAAAAATATCAATAAGTTTCTTCTTGATGGGCAGGACTCATGGTATTTGTGTTCAGCCCAGTGGTCAGGGGATAATATACCAGAAAGTGAAGAGCTAATGACTTTTGGAAGATCTCACCTCCTAACCTTGTTTTCCATTAGTTACAAGTTCCGCAAACACAATGTTCCTTCAGGAGTACTGATACAAGGTAAGTGCTCAATAATACACGTGAATGAGTGAATGAGTGAATGAGTGAATGAATGAGGTACCACTGTGCAGTCTATGCCTGCCCCCATCTTAGAGACTGGGTGTGGAGCCCAGCCTACGGCCTTCAGGACTGGTTATCCCCTTACCACGCCTAACCACTGATGGTTATTCCATGACCACTTAAATGGGTCCAGTTTAGGGATAACAAAGAAGGAAATACAGTCAGAAAAGTGTCCGTTTGAGTTTTTGGTCCTTACAGCCTAGGCAACAAGGCTTGTCATGGCTAAGGAAGCATCTCCCTCGACTCACTGGGGAGTGGCACCTGGCAAATAGTGCCCTCTCACAGCTGCACACGCCTGGCCAGCCCATTGCTCACTGCGAGGGGCACAGAGCTGCCTGACGGCCTGCTGCCAGGGAGCATATGTTCAGCTGGCATGGCCTCCTGTGGGAACAAAGCCAATGAGCCTGGGCGAGGAGAGGAGAGATCAGTCAGAACAGGAAGAAGAAGGCCGAGCAGTGCAGTGTTTTGTTATATTAAGGACTTAACAGGCTTTTAATTTCTACAGCAAAGCACAGAGGAATTCTTTGTGGAAATGTCTGAAAGCGTTTGTTGGCCCCAGGTGGCAAATCCTACTCCTGGAAAGGCGGGAGGCACTTGGGAGAGATGTTTACTGCAGCTGCCCCACCTTCCTTGCCCACTCTGAGTCCCTACGTGGCCCGAGACAGGGGCTCTGACCGCCAAGCAGGGGCACCTCCTGGTGGGATTCAAGTCTCTGCTTTTTCACTCGGAGGACAACTGGTGGGGAAAGTCTTCCAAGTTGTGTATTTAAAAGGTTAAGGCTTAGGCAACTGATTTCCATTAACCAACATTTTAATAAATCATTGCCACATGTGCAGCCCACAGGTACTCTCTGCCTGACAAGCAAGATTTCTTTATCATCACAATTCACAAGTTTGATACTCTGAACATCTACTTTATTTTTGACCTGTGAGCTCCACTAGGGCACAGATTCTTGTTATTTGACTTCTATTTCCAGAACCTGGCACGGCACCTGGTCAGTACCGTGAGCCACTGAATGAGAGCTAGCATGCCTGTTTACCAGACCAGAAGACCAGAGGTCTGTCTTCAGTGTCATTAGGCTGGTAATGTCTGGTGCTTTTGTAGCATCAGGTCTATCAAACTTTCTGACACAAGAACCAAAATCTTTTCTCTCAAGTTCAGCCCCCAGAGAACACAGGGATCCAGGTGGCCTGGCAACTGAAGACCCCGTTCATCTGACAGCATCGGCACCAAGGGGCAAAGACAGCAGACAGCAACGGGGATGAGATGAACTGAAGGAAGTCTGGCCAGGCCCAGAATACAGGATGCGGGGAGACAGCCAGGGTGAGCTAGAGTGTGGCGAGAGCCGAAACTGGTGGGCCAGTCACAGTGTGGTTAAACATGTCAGTAAAAGGGGCTGCACTGGCCATTGACCCAGATCAGTACTTTGAGCAATCTGTCAGGTGTGTTGAGGCCAGGGCTTTATTCAAGGAATGTGGCAGAAGAGGTTCTGTCATGCACTGTTACACAAGCGGCATACAGATGGAGAACAGAGGCCAACAGAGGGTGAGAGGGAAGCCTTGATTCAGAGGGCAGGGGTTCTCTCTGCTGTAGAGTTCCCTTGTAATTGACCAGTTAGGGCCATGGCTTCCTTTCCTGTGGCAGTTTTCTCTGCTGTGGAGAGTAAGGTCACAGCCCTAGCCACACAGGCCTATGCAGCACCTGAGTGATGAAGAATAGTTTCCGATATCCTTGGATCATTCCTAGAGACGACTGGATACATGTGTGGTATTCTTGGCCTCAGCAGGAAGTTCCTCAGAGAAGCTGTATTCTGACACTAGCTTTTAAGTCCCTATTTACATCCTTATCACATGACTCTAACAAAAGAGACTGAAATGTTACTGGGGCTATGAAGCAACCCTAGAGGTTGTAGGAGGTCAACCAAGGACCCTATCAACTCTGAAATAACCGATCACAATTTTATTCAGTAGTATTAAATGTAATACTATATATGAAAAGAATTGTCTAATAAAATTTACTGTGTATGTGAAAGAATCATTAAGCGGTAAGGGATCATGGAGATTTAACATCTTACTATTAGTATTATTCAGATGATGTCGATTTCTCAGAGAAGCCAAAAGTACTTGTTGGCTGTCAGAATTCAAATCTACTAATAAAAGGGGATGGATTACACATTAGGCTGTGGAAGGAGCAGAGAGAAGTTTATAGATGGGCAGAAAAATCAAGTGTCAAAGAGGGAAAAGAGGCATTACTGTATTTTTTTAAAGATGAATAAACTCGTGTGTTGTTTTTATGAAGACTCCATTATCACTGCAAAAAGGAAACTCTCTGTCTCTCCTTTTCCCTTATCAGTTATGAGAACCGGAGTCGCGGACGCTGATGGAAGCACTGAAGCGTGAGAAGGGAGGCCAGGCCTCTGAGCTCCTCAGTTCGCCTGGCTCTCCGGCTGGAAGGTCTGGAAGTGAAAGAGCAGAAGACAAAGACGAGGGCTGCCTCTGTGTCCTACGAAGACAGTGGGACCCGGGACCTGGGAATGAGCCAAAAGGGGGGTGTCCCGGGAGGGCCGAGGAGCCCCGGCCACAGTCGGTGGGGAGCCAGACATTTGGAGCTGGAAGCCAGGGAGCCCCAGGCAGCGGGCGAAGAGCGGGGACCAGGACACCCCCGCGCCGAGCTCACCCCAGAGAGAAAGCCACGGCGAGGCGGAGGCGGCCTGCAGGGCAGGGAGAGGCCAGCTCGTCCCAGCGCCGCCTGCGGCACCCCAGCCAAACGGAATACCGACTCGGTTGGGTGGACGGACAGCATTTCTGCGGTCCCGCTCTTTGTGGGCAACACGGTCAGGGCGCAGGGGCCGGGCCGGGAAGGCTCCGGGGCAGGTCGGGCCGCAGGGCTTCTTAATTAGAAACAGGGACGAAGGGCGGAGCCTGCGGTGCAGCTGCAGAGAGAAAACCTGATACTGAGACGCACGCGGAGGGGCACCTCTGGGCGGAGGCCGGGACCGGGGAGGGGGCGGGTGGCAGAGGCGCGCATGACGGGCACACTCAAGAAGGGAATGTGTTCATATGTTAGCTGTTTAACTAAAAACTGATTTTTAAAAACCTTACATTTAAGAAAGGGAGACACACAGGGAAGAGAGCAAGGTGGGAAGAAAAGGAAAAAGGAGGAAAGACCAACAGTCCGGGTCTCCTCGGAGGGGTCTCCCTGGACACTGGGAGAGGCGACCCGAAGGGTCGGGGCTCGGAAGAGGGGGAGGCAGGGAGCACATCGCAAGGGGGACGGTCCCCAAACAGAAACCCCGGGTCACAAGGCAAACGGAGTAAATAACGGGGCCTCGGAAGAAAGCGGGGACGGAAAGGGCGCGCACTGGTCCCAGCCCTCGGCGCCCGCCCCCCGCCAGCACACACACACACGGGGGCAAACGCCGACCCCCCGAGCCGGGCCCGGGCCCCCAGGCCCCTCCTGCTGGGTGCCCTCTGCCAGCCGCGCGGGAGTCACGGCGACACACGCGCGACAGGGCACTTCCCGTGGCCCAGCGCTCACCCCGCCTGTCCCAAACTTTCCACCAGTGCCACGCCGCCCACCCGTCCCCTGGCCCACCGGCGGGCCTCCGAGCCGCGGAGCACGCCCGCTCCTGCGCGGGGGTCGCCTCGGGATTTCCCGGGAGACCCGGAGGGGCTGCAGACGCCCGGGCGTCGGGGCCTCACTCCGCGCGCAGGTGCGCCGGCGGGGAGGTCGCGGCTCGGCTCGGCAGGGCCCGGCCCTCTGCAGGGTCCCCGCTCTCCGACTCGCGCGCCGTGCCCGCCACCCCGACCCCCTCTGGGCCCCGCAGGCCGACTGTTGTGGGGCCCGCGTGCCGGCGGCGCGGGGGCGCGAGGGGCAGGTACCTCGTTGAAGCCCTCGGGCAGGAAGTCGAGCGAGCCCCCCCGGCCCAGGCAGGCTAGCATCGCCCTGCCGGGCTCCGGGCGCGGCGTCCAGGCCGCCTCCGTCTGCACACAAAGCCTCGGCTCTGCTCTCTAGGGTCTCTGGGGATCCCGCAGGCCACTCACTGCAGCCCTAGACCCGAGCCGCCCGGCGGCTTCCACTGGGCATGCTCGCCCCGGGCACCCGCGGGGGCCTGCGCGCGGCCGCGCCCGAGGAAGGAGCCGGGCGGGCGGGAGGTCCCCGGCCCGCGTGCGTGCGGGAGGACCCCGCGGGAGCCCGGGGCCGGCGTGTGCACGCGCTGCAGTCACACGCGCGCACACACCCCGGGCCTGCGGGCGTGTGCAGGCGCCGCAGACACACACCGGGCTGGGCTCGGGCGTGCGCGCGCCTGCGGTCCCACACACCAGCTCGCCGCCACCAGGTAGGTAGGACGGGGACTGAACCCCAAGATTCCCGCCCCTCCCCGGTGCCCCACCGCACCCACCTCCGCCCCACCCCGACTAGCGAAAACAGCAACCTTTTCCACACGGGGCATGGACAGTGAGGTCAGGCTAAGGAAGGGGAAGCAGAAAGGAGAAAAACAGAGAGAAAGAAGAACCACCCAGAAGTAGAGGGGAAAAACAAAGAAGATAGAAGAGAGAACTTCAGTTACTGATGGTACTAGGACACGTTTAATAGAAACAGTGCTAAATCACACAGAAACATCAAAGGAAAACCAAGGATGACCATGGCTTTACCAGAAAAGCCCTTCTTTCTTTTTCAAATAACCCTTAAAATGTAAAACTCATATTTTCAATGAGTTTTCATTAATTAATGGGTTTTAATTAAAATAAAAACCACAAAAATGTCCTGGTGCTTTTGAAAGAGTTAGGTGAAATCTTACTCAACTGAAACAGCGAGCTGTTGCCCTGTTTATAGTCAGTCACGTCACAGACTTGATTATTTATTTTTAGGAATACTAGGCATTTGTACTCAGTGCACACTCTTATTTGTATACGAAAACTGGAAGCTGAAAGAACGCCCATATCATGTTACACTGCAGGACTCCAGACGGAGCGGAAGGGATCAGAGGAGGTCCTTGAAGGTGGATCTGAGAGGAAGTGGGACTCTGCACTCACGGTTTTGCAGAAGGTCCAGATTCCCTCCCCAAATCTTCATTATTAGCTTAGCAAGAAAAGTCAGTAATGGCTTTTATTCATCCTAATGACCTCCTCCTCGGGTCACTAGAGGAAAAGAAAATCTACCCACAGCAGCCAGAGCTAGCAACATCTTGCTTGAATAGCAAAAGGTGCCAAATGCAAAGATGCTTCTGAGAAAAGACACACCTCCCCCGACCACAGCAAGCAAGAAGCGGAAGGCCGGCAGAGGTGTTCAGTGGCTGCTGCTGGTTAAATGCTGCGGGTTCAGTTTTGGCTAAGTCTGGGAAAAAGACATGACACCAAATCAGTCTGAACCTGATCACCCCACAAGTCAGAAGACTACTGTCCTTCAAAATGTAGCTGGGGAATTTGGTTGCCAAGAATTCCCTTTCCTGCTACCACAGCTCCTGGTGTAACACCCTCATGTGATATACAAATATCTATATACAACAGTTTATAATAGCAATTTTGAGCTTTTACTATGTGCAAAGCCCTGTACTAATTAGCTTATTTGATGGTCACGATTACCACGAACAGTAAGTTTTTTATTGTCTCCATTTTACAATATGAAGAAAGAGAGGTGTGGAGGATAAACGACTTGCCTCAGACCCTATAGCTGCTAAGTGGTGGAGCCAAAGTCCAGGTTCTTGATCATTATGTAATACTTTCAAAGGATGCTTGAATCATGAAAGGTACTCAGCAAATGTTTTTAGTTGGATGAATGCATAAGCAGGTGGAGGAAACATTAACAAACCCATTCATCACATATGACATAATAACATGTTAACCTAAGTAAGCCTTTGAGCTTGAAACAGTACTGTTATTCGGTGAAAATAATGACTGACTTCTCCATGTAGAAGATGTGTGAAATTCACACCTATGTACAATTTAACACATTTGTTATGGGCAATCATTAATGACTATACAGAAGCAGAAAGGCAGTTTGGGTAAGCACATAATTTAAATTGTCAATGGAAAATTTTAAATGACTGAAATAATTCCTTAATCTTTTAACTTTTTCTCAAGTTAGCAAGTTCCTTGGCAGTAACATATGTTTACAATTTGTACTGCATTGATTTTCAGAGGCATCAGCATAAATTACACAAAGGGGTTCACATATCCCAGCAAAGGTCCCAATGTGTCCTCGCTCCTAAACTGCTCTCTTTGCCTCCAGGCTTTTCTTCCGGTCTGCACCCCTTAATCTTCCTTAGGCATTCATCCTGTCACTCAGCTGCTCAAACGTCTTCAACACTCCCCTCCCTTTTCCTGGTGTGTCACATATAAATTCTTCCTGTCCAGCTCTTGATTCTTAAGGCCTCCTAGCAAATTTCCCGTGCTCAGGTTAGCGGGCTCCTCACCGTTGCACAGATTTATGAGGCTCCTTTTCACCTCCAGCCTTCAGGACTGCCCCTCTGCCTAGGATGTCCCATACTTCTGCTACTCAAATCTCCACGATGCCTAGTTCAAGACCCACTTCCGCATGAAACTCTTCTGGCTACTCCTGATTTTCTTAAATCAGGACAGATCTGGCCTTAATCTGTGTGGCACACTCACCTCCCAGATAACCCATTCATTCCTGCTCTCCTTTTAGATTTCTACCCAAATGTCACTTTTTCCACTTGGCCTTCTCTGACCACCCTATTCAAAATGACAGCACTCCCTTAACCAGGCACTCCTAAACCTCTTTGCCTGATTTATTTTTAGTTTTCTTCTCAGCATGCATCACCATCATCTACATTCTATATTTACTTGTTGATTTGTTTATTATCAGCCTCCCTCTGCCAAGAATGGAAGCTCCATGAGAGCAGAAAATTTTGTATGTTTTATTGGTTTAACTCCAGAACCAAAAATATTTCATGGCACATAATAGATGCTCAATAAACACTGGCTGAGTGAATGAATTAATCTTCCACTTTAAAATTCAAAGGTCATGGCATGCTTTATAACCTATCATTTAGTATTTAGTTATAGTTAATTTAGGAATGCGAATCTTTGCTTCTTCTACTGTATTTCCATAACAAATACAGATAATTTCTGGTATCCTATATTTTCTCTCCATCAATGCATTCGTTCACTAAACGTTCACTAAATATATGCTGAACACCTATTATACGCCAGGTCCTATTCTTTTAGCAAAAACTTCAAGAACTTAGTTTCATACATACACACACACAGGCAAGAAACAAGACTAAAAGAAAAATAGTAAAAGGAAGACTAGTAAAACTGAGAATCCAACATTAGGGTGGGGACAACAGTGTGAGTTTCAGACTGGGTAGAAAAAGGAAAAATGCCCCAGTGGTGAGAGACCGGAGTAGGGTGCCAGCAAAGTCATTACCAGGTGCTAGTGCTGAATACACACTGTACCAAAGCATGTGTGTCAATGTATCCTACGTGAAGTTTTTAAATTCACATTTCAAGTTATCTGCCAGCAACCCTGTGGCTAAAAGAAAAAGATTAACACTAGCGACATCTGGTGGGCATTTTGGAAGTGATCCTTCAGCGTCTCCTCTGAGAACACTAAGATGCCCCCAAGCCTCGCCATTCCTATGCATTAGGGCCCCACGTTACTATTTACACTATCACCGACTAATCTTTCCGCAGGACCCAGGGCCTTACAGCAAGACGTAGCCAGATTTCTACCAAGGAATTTTCTATCTCACAACTGACTTCCCTCTGCCTTCTGAAGGAGGTATACAAAATCTGTCCTCAATTCTGCTTTTAAAGGTAACTTATTATTTAAAATTCACATCCTGTGACCTAGGGACTCCACTTCTAGGATTGTACCCTAAGAAAAAAAAGTCTTAGATGAGGAAATCAGTTAGTTATTTACAATGGGGGAGGGGAACCTAAAACTCAAACAACAGAGGAATTAGTCAAGAAAATTACAGATGTTCAAATGTTTACAGATGTACAAATATTTAAATGTTTACTAAATATTTGTGCTCATATTAAAACAAGCATTTTAACACTTTCATATTAACAAACATTAAGTTAAAAAAAGCAAAAGTCGAAAAGTGTGCATAATGTGATCTCAAGTATGTAAATATATATATATAGGACTAAAGACTAGAAGAAAATACTCTAAAATATTAAGTGATTGCTTCTGAATGGGAGGATTATAGTTTTTTAAATCATGGTTTGTAATATTTTCCAAATGCTCTATAATTAATGTGCATTATTTCTGTAACAATCATTATTTAAATCTTCTAAACAATGCATATGTTCTGATTAATTGCTAGAATTTTTCAACCTCTGCTTGATTTTATTAATTCCAGAAAAAGATAATGAATCACATGAGTTAGAATTTCCACAAGAAGGGGAAGCTAGAAAAGCATGCAAATATATTACAAATTTTGCTCCAGGATCTGAGTCCTGATGGAGAAACCCCTTATTGTAGAACCGTACTGAAATTCCACTGTGACATCATATTCCTCTCAACAGTAAACCAGAAACTTACAGAGGGCTCTGCTGGCAGCAGGGAGTTACAGAAGCTCATAACCATGCGGGTCGCCATCTTCAGAGTCCCTAGAAGAGCCGGATCAGGGCCCACCTTAAAATAGGAGGAGGAAGAAATGTGCAAAAATACAGGACAGGAAAAAAAATCCCCCAAATTAAACCAATCTATTAGAGGGGTCAGACTACTGCTCAAACCTACCAACTTAAGTCATCTAGATGTATCAAAAATAGGACCCTGGTGAGCAGGAAATCCAGCCCAAGATATTATAATCACAACAGGGCTACCCCAAAGGTGTTTTTAAATTAGCCACCTAGATTTTAACAGTAAAAAGTAAAGGGCAATGCTTCCCTATCATTCGTCAAGCAATGCATTTTGCCTCCTCCCTACTTTTATCAGTGAAAGACCATAGAAGGATTCTGAAGACAGTCAGGCAAAATACTGGGACCTCTGTTCTGGCATGCACTTCCCTTCATCCTTTAAAATTCAGTTTTAACCTAAAGGCAGCATTTATATTCTAAGGCAGGAAAATCTGTATAGCACTTTAAGTTTACAAAGTGCTATCACCATCATCTTATTTGACTGTCAGAACAAATGACCCTTGTTCATTTTATTACCCCCAGCTAATAGGAAATAGGCTAGGGAATTGCTCTGCCAATTAATTAGTGGGGACAGTTTTCCAGCCACCTCTTCTGAGACAGACTGGGAAAACAGTGATGGTGGTGATGGTGGCTGCAGCGCGTGAGTACACACCATGTATTGTTCCAAGTGCTTTAAATTCTCACAAGCACCATGAAGCTGATACTATTTTCAGCAACCGTTTAGTGCTCCTTCCGTTTCAGTACTCTATCCGCCTTAAGGAATCATCCCTCTCAGGGACAGACGAGGGGCAGCGGCATTCAGGAGGACGGCGTACAGACAAGAAGGGAAAGTGCGTTACCTCTGCCTGCAGGCTCCCAAGTCGGCCTCGCGAGCTGCACACTAGGAACCTGCGGGGCTCAGAGCGGAGCGCAACCTGACACCTCCCCCCCTTCCCAGCCCATCCTCGCTCCTCCGAGCGTCCGCAGTTCTCGCTAGACGCTCCACCGTCGGTAATTTCAGGGGCGCGCCGTCTTCCAGCACCCACCTCCTCAGTAGTCGAGAATTCTGGTTCAGCATC